CGATCGTGAATTCGCGTGCGCGTGCCCGTGTATGTATAGCTAGGCGTACGATGCTTTGCCGTACTAGCGATATGTGCTTCTTATGGTGTGGCTAGCTCAAGAAATTCCCACCAAATCTCCTAACTTCACTTCGTATAATATAGAAATGATATGTGCTGATATATACTTAAGGAAATGTGGGACAAAATTTTCCAACTCCCACTTATATATAGGAGCCGAACCTTGAGGGAATGATGTAGAAGATATGTGGTTTAATCTAGTGATTAATATTTAATTAATCACTTAATTATGCTTAATTAACTTTTAAGCATAATACTTAATTACCAAAATTATTCCGAACGTAAACGACACGTCGAAAATAATTTTTGGTAATTTCGACTGAAAATAATTAATTCCGAAAATTAATACTCGACAATATTAATATATCGGAACTAAAACATAATTTATACTGATAAAATAACGGGATATTACAAGGCCTGCTGGCCGAGCCAGTGCACGACCGGCCGGTTCAGCGGACCGGCGGTCCAGTCCAGACCGGTTCAGACCGGCTGGACCAGTTTAGTCAGTATTTTAAAGTTTCAGTCCCGGTTCTTGATTTCAGTACCAATTTCAGTTAAAATTCCTGGTCCAGTTTAGTCCAGTAAATTAATATCAGTTCAGTTCCGTACTTAACCGGTTCCAGTTATACCGATTATGTCCGAATATCATGTTAAGTCCAGTAGATCATCTTTACATAATTACTCAGTTAATTTATCAGTCTGAGCATAGTCCTTAGTAATTGTTTATATTATTTTTCAATTTGATCAGGCATCAGCACTACCTGCATTTTCAGCAGTTCAGGTGGGGACTCAGAATAAGTACTACATTGATTATAATATCCCTACCATGTTTGAGGTATGTATATTCAGTATCCGCTCGGAATGGTTGCCAGTCCATTCTGGGTTCTAGTGGTCCTAATCTGCCCACTAGAGTGTACACATGGTGTCCGGCTTTGCCGGCAGATGTTCAGTTTCAGACAGGTGACTTATGTAACGAGAACAGTATCAGATTATTCAGACCGGTGTCAGATATCAGTTTCGGTTTCAGTTCAGTTATATATGCCATGATCATGATATTGTTATTATTTTCACTGTTTTACTTTAGTATGAGTTTCCACGGAGCACAGTGTTTTAGTGCTCACATCCCACGTATTTCATATATTGCAGGTCTCAGGGTCGGGGACGAGGAGTGAGCTGACGTGCTGTTCAGGATATTTGTTTTGTTGTGTATAAACTATGTTTTGGACACGCTACAGTTCCGCTAAAACTTTCAGTACTTAAACTCAGTTTTTGATCTGACATTAGTCGATTAACACTTTATATAACCGTTTTACTTTTCAGTTTAAAATTAACAGTTTTTCAGTCAGATATTCACGGTAGCACCCCGAATCAGATTTCGCAAAATAAATATTTTATTAAATTATTCAGAAAATTTTGCGAAAAATGCATACTCTGATATTATTAAAATAGCGGGGTGTTACAATTGGTATCAGAGCACGTTTCTGCGTCTCTGAAAAGTTTTTCAGTCAGTAATTTTCAGAAAAACCTGAACCGTCACACTCACTCCTCGCCGACTACAAGTAAGTGCTGATTTAGTTTTCAGTTATAAACATATTACTATTGTCTATGCTCAGAAATTATTAAATCAGGACTTAGTTAAGATGCTCGAATAAGGTTCAGACTTTAGAGTTCAGTATATTCAGATATGACTCTAAAATTCAGTATATTCAGATATGACTCTAGATTTCAGTATCTTCCGATATGACTCTAGATTCCCTCAGGATTCATGTCAGTATTTATCGGCCATTTTTGGCAACTCGTCAAGAGATTTGTATGCCTTAGTAATCAGTCAGAATATTTTTCATGTGTTCAATAATTTGAACTTTTTCAATGTTCAGATGCCGCCCCGTAAGGAACCCGATCACCCAGTTCTTCCTCAGGCCACGGTGGTCGCACAGTTTCGCGACTATCACCCTGAGAAATTTTCCGGGCAGGGAGACCCTCGTATCGTGGACGAGTGGATTCAGGGCCCTGAATTTATTTTTGAGGTCATGGATTGTCCAGACAGATATCGCATAATCTGCGCTCAGCTTCAGCTAACCGGTGATGCCCGACTCTGGTGGAATGCCTACTGGAGCATGCGTCCCGGCGAGAAGGCGGGATGTACATGGGATATGCTCAAGGAGCTAATCCGCGAGAAGTACTACCCCACTTAATACAGAGCAGAGATGGAGCGTCAGTTTCTGTCGCTCAAACAGGGTACTCGGACTGTAGACGAGTACGAAAGAGAGTTTACCAGACTTGCAGCTTTTGTTCCTGACTTGGTTCGCACGGAGGCCCAGAGAGCACAGTGCTTCATTGACGGAATTTACCCAGCAGTCTGTCATAACATTGTAGGTCACGGGACCCAGACGTACGCACGTGCAGTTTTCATTGCCCAGGAGGTGGACGCCAGCATTAGAAGAGAGGCCATCCATGATCGTCCTCAGCCATCCGCCCCAGTTCAGCCATCCACAATTCCGCCAGCCCTGCCAGCCGCCCAGCCGACGAAGGAGAAGAAGAGGAAGGAGAAGGGCTCACAGACCGACAGGAGGACTCGCCAAAGGCAGCAGCAGGTTCCACAGTGCCCCACATGCAGACGTTTTCATCGAGGCGAGTGTCGCTTCGGCCAGGATATATGCTACTACTGTCACGAGCCCGGACACTTTGCGAACCGTTGTCCGAAGAAGGCACAGCAGCCCCAGCAGCCTCAGCACCCACAGCAGCAGCAGCAGCCCCGTCAGCAGGCTCAGAGGCCACCACAGCAGCAACAGCAGAGGGGCAGACAGCAGGCCCGAGTCTACACTGTCGAGCAGGTCGAGGCCGAGCAGCAGCCAGGTACTATGTCAGGGATGAACATGCTTAATAATATTCCTGTGTTTGCCTTATTCGATACTGGAGTGACGCATTCGTTCATTTCACGATGATGTCTTGATGCCATCGGAGTTCACGCTACCACCGCTATCGATTTTCTCGAGGTGAGTTTAGCCTTGGGACGGAAGATAGTGACTTCAGCTAAAGCTTCAGATCTCAGCCTTTCCATCGGTGGCCAGGTATTGTCCGCCGACGCGTATGTTCTTGAGATGAGGGACTTCGACCTCATTCTCGGGATGGATTGGCTATCCTTTTATCGTGCAGATATCAGATGTCATGACTGGGAGATTACTCTTTATCTTCCGGGAGACGAGTCAATTACTTTCATTGGCAGCAAGAATCGTTCATTACCTCATGTCGTTTCAATGGCGAAAGCCACCAAGTTGTTGCGACGAGGCAACTGCCAGGGTTATCTGGTGAGCCTTGTCGATGATTCTCAGAAAGCACGATCACCTCACGATGTTCCAGTTGTTCGTGAGTTTGTAGACGTGTTCCCAGACGAGCTTCCAGGAGGACCGCCTAACCGGCAGGTGGAGTTCTCTATTGACCTCATTCCAGGAGCCGACCCCGTATCCAAAGCCCCATACCGTATGGCGCCAAAGGAGTTGCAGGAGCTTAAGACGCAGATTTAGGAGCTTTTACGACTCGGTTTCATCCGACCGAGTGTGTCACCTTGGGGAGCACCCATTCTCTTTGTTAAAAAGAAGGACGGATCCATGCGCATGTGTATCGACTACCGTGATCTTAACCGGTTGACGATCAAGAACAAGTATCCGCTTCCCAGGATCGATAACTTTTTTGATCAGTTGAGGGGAGCCTGTGTATTCTCAAAGATTGATTTACGATCAGGCTACCACCAGCTGAAGAATAAGGAGTCGGATATCGCTAAGACCGCTTTCAGGACTCGTTACGGCCATTACGAGTTTGTTGTCATGCCATTCAGCCTCAACAATGCTCCAACGGTTTTCATGGACCTGATGAACCGTATTTTCCATCCCTACCTTGATCAGTTCGTTATTGTCTTTGTTGACGATATTCTTATCTACTCGAAGAGCCAGAAGGAGGACGAGGAGCACCTGAGGGTGGTTCTCGAAACCCTCAGACGAGAAAAGTTATATTCCAAATTCTCCAAATGCGAGTTCTAGCTCCAGCGAGTAGCTTTTCTGGGTCATGTGATTACTCAGGCAGGTATTGTGGTGGATCCTTCTAAGGTATCAGCTGTTCAGAACTGGTCGACACCGAAGAGTCCGTCCGAGGTTCGCAGTTTTCTCGGTTTAGCTGGCTATTACCGCAGGTTCATCGAGGGCTTTTCTAAGATTGCCCTCCCACTATCCCAGCTGACGAGGAAGTCTGTGAAGTTCGAGTGGACTGATCATTGTGAAACGAGCTTTCAGAAGCTCAAGAGGAGATTAACTTTAGCCCCGGTGTTGACTATTCCCGATCCTTCTCGGAGTTTCACCATTTTCAGTGATGCTTCGAAGCAGGGACTGGGATGTGTACACATGCAGGACGGCCAAGTCGTTGCTTATGCATCATGCCAGCTTAAGCCACACGAATAGAACTATCCGACGCACGACTTGGAGTTAGCCGCCGTTGTTCATGCTCTCAAGATCTGGCGACATTATCTTTACGGCGGACGTTGCGAGATTTTCACAGATCATAAG